TTTATCTGTGGGATTCATTGGAAAAGAAGTACAAGATCGAGAATTCCGGAGCAAAGAAGGTCATTGTTGGCAAGTGTTTGGACTACAAAATGGTAGACTTCAAAACCGTGATAAGTCAAGTGCAAGAACTTCAAGTTCTACCACATGATATACATGCTGAAAAGATGGAATTGAGTGGTCCTTCCAGTTGTGGCTATCTCAAATACAAACGCAAAGATGAATTTGGGAGAATTGATAGTCTGGTTAAGGATCGAGGAAGACGATAAAAACATCGAAAGGAAATCTATCGTTTAACTTGGAGCAAATTTTGTTGGAACTGGTTCGAAAGTTGTCAACAAGAAACGAAAGATTTTAGGTGTGGTAACAAAAAAGACAACTCCATAAATGCCAGAAGTTTAAAGGCATCTGTTACAATTGTTGAAAAGCTGGATATCGCTCTAATGAATGTCGAAAGCTTAATAAGAACTTACAAGCAAATGTGGTTGAAAGAGACAGAATTTCTGAAGGGATACAAGAGATGAATCTTTCAGCGGTTGTTTCTGAATGTAACAACGTTGAAAATTCAAGAAAATGGTGAGATGATACTGGTGCTACCTGTCACATTTGTGCACACAAGATTACGTTCACTAACTACAAAGAGTTAAATGGAGAACAACTTTTTATGGAAAATTCTTCAAGTTCTAAAGTTAAAAGACAAAGGAAAGTTATTTTGAAGATAACTCATCCTCAACAATGTCCTACATGTACCGGACATTCGCAAGAATCTTGTATTGTGGTCTCTACTTAGCAAAAATGGTTTTAAACTTGTATTTATATCCGATAAATTTGTACTCACTAAGAATGAGATGTATGTTGGTAAATGATACTTATGTGATGTAATGTTCAAAATGAATGTTCTTACAATTATATCGTTTGTTTTGTAATACTTATTTTGAATGAATTCTACTTATGTGCTCGAGTTGTCTTGTTTAAGGCATAGTCGATTAGGTCACATCAATTACAAATCGATGCACAAACTTATGAATCAAACTTTAATTCCGACGCTTAAAATTGATCATAATCATAAGTATGAAGTATGGCCTTGTATGGGAGGGATTAAAATTGGATTAAAATTGAAAATATAGCCGTTATTGTTGACTTTTATTAGACGAGTGGGATCCAATAACGGCCATATTTTCAATTTTAATTGGATTTTAATCCCTCCCGAACGGGGCCTATGTGTTGAAGCAAAGTTGGCCAAAACACATTTTCACTCAATTCAAAAGAACATGACACTCTTAGAGTTAATATATAGCGATATATGTGACTTGAAGTTTGTTCAAAGTAAAGGTGGTAAGAAATATTTTATAACTTTCATTGAAGATTATACAAATTATTGTTATGTCTTTCTACTACGAAGTAAAGTCAAAGCTTTAGATGTCTTTAAACATTATAAGACGAAAGCTGAAAATCAATTTGGTAAACAAATAAAAAGTATTCGTAGTGATAGAGGAGGTGAATATAGGGCACCATTTGAAAAATATTCTTCCGTATATAGAGTCATTCATCAAACAATGATACTTTACTCACTTCAATCAAATGGTGTTTCCAAACGCAAAAATCGAACTCTTAAAGANAAACAAAACATTATGAATAAAACTTTGAATTCTACTTATGTGCTCGAGTTGTCTTGTTTAAGGCATAGTCGATTAGGTCACATCAATTACAAATCGATGGACAAACTTATGAATCAAACTTTAGTTCCGACGCTTAAAATTGATCATAATCATAAGTATGAAGTATGTGTTGAAGCAAAGTTGGCCAAAACAATGGTATCAAAAGTTTAACAGAGCAATGTTATGTAATAGATTTAAGATAAATGAGTGTGACAAGTCTGTATACATTAAACATACACCAAAGGCCTACATGATTGTATGTTTATATATAGACAATATGTTGATAATGATCAATAATTACGAAATGATGATAAACACCAAGAGAATGTTAACAAAAAATTTTGACATGAAAGACTTGGGTGTGACTTGTGTAATATTAGGGTTAAGATCTCTAGAATATCATAAGAAATTATACTTTCTCAATCTCACTATATTGAGAATATATTTAAAATGTATAATGTACTTGAGGAAAGTCTTGTGAAAACCCCTATTGACACAAGTTTACACTTAGTCAGAAATACAAGTGAATGTGTGTCACAACTAAATTATTCACAGATTATGGGCAGTCTTATGTATATTACAAACTGCACTCGACCATACATAACATTTCCTATGAATAAAGTTAGTAGATTCACAAGTAATTCAAGACATGATCATTGGAAGGCTTTAACAAGGGTTCTTAGGTACTTGAAATATATTTTAACCTATGGATTACACTTCACAAAATATCCCGCGGTATTAGAAGGATATTGTGATGCGAATTTGATATCCGATATAAAGGATTCTAAGTCTACTAATGGTTATGTATTTACCATTGGTGGAGCTACTATATCATGAAAATCGAAAAAGCAAACTTGTATAGCTCGATCAACGATGGAATCAGAATTTATTGTTTTGGACAAAGCTAGGGGAGAAGCAAAATGGCTTCGTAACTTCTTAGAAGAGATTCCATATTGGCCTAAGCCAATACCTGCTATTAGTATACATTGTGATATTCAATCGACTATTGGAAGAGCTCAAAGCAACATGTATAACGGTAAGTCTAGACATATACATCGTAGACACAATACCATTAAGCAACTGATCTGTAATGGTATCATTTTCATAGATTATGTGAAATCAAATGAGAATATCGCGGTCCACTTAATAAAGGTTTACCAAGAGATCGAGTACGTTGCATATCGAAAGAAATGGGATTAAAGTCAACTACATAAGGATCTTTATAATGGTAACCTTACCTTGTTGACTGGGGATCCCAGGATCTTGATTCAAGTTGACAACTAAGTTATGAAGATTCAATGAAACACTTGGGAAAATATTTCCTAACTCATTTCTATAATAATTAAAGTGCTTTCAGCAGAATGTTAAGGTTAAGATATACTT